GGGGCTGTGTCCGCAGAGCCGGGGACTCCGGGAACGCAGCCCCCGGCCGCCACCTTGCCTTCGTCCCACGCGGGCTGCGCTCTCACGTTCCTTAGGAATGGTGCTTTCTGGTTGTGACCAAAGATGTCAGTGCTTTTCGTGAATCTTGGTAGGGAGTCGTCTCCAGTGTAGGTCTCCCCTTCCCACACATCCCCTGGGAAACAGTGCAGGTAGAACGGCGGCTCAGCTGCTAGCCACGCGTCACTCGTTAAATACCCGCATCTTGGTTTTTGTTTAGTGAAGAGACGCAGGTTTGGATGCAGAGCACCCGGGTTCGGATCCTGCCGCTTCCGTTTGTGAGCGTCGGCGCAGAAGAGGGTACCCACTCCGGCTAGCCAGGTTTATCGCCCTGTGTCCTGCTCCTTTGATGGCCAGCCTTTTGATTTCTTCTGAAGTGGTAGGCAGGATGCTTGTCTGAGGAAAGTGAAGCAAATCAGCCTGACAGTGTTTCCGGGGACACTTGTAGCCACGCAGAAAACAGTCTACGAAGTGTTTTGGCTCAGGTGTGGATATGGCCTTCGCAACGTCTTCACCTGTATCTGTGTGTGGATCCTGTGGAGGAGACTAAGGACCCAGAGACAGTGGTACTGAAACCAAGGATCTCAGCTACTCTTCAGCCTGGTGTGTATTAATGATCACACAAATAAAACAGCAGTGTTGATTGGGCCATTCCTTTTTGTTCCTTTTTGGTCTTTTCAATGCAGTGAGGATTTGGGGGAGGCCCGAAGTCTTGTGCTGCCCCAGTGTGTCCTCCTTCGCACAGTGTGATAGGTAAAGTGCACCTTTGGAAGACTGCCAGAAGATGCGTGGACTTGTTTGTTTTTTTAAAGGCCTATTCTAACTCAGAATAATAGATGCTTGTTTTTTTTAAAAAACGGCTTCTATGGAGTATGATTGACAGAGTCTTATTTTTCTTGACCAAAAGGCCGTGTGCTAGGGCAGTGACCACTCATAAGCATTTCGTTCCTTTACCCACAGACTAAAAAATTATCCTTTGATGCTACTCACTGAGGCAGCATAGCTGATGATGGCTTAGCGTGTTAGTTCTGAACGCCATTCATAGCTGCGTGGTGACTAGTAAACAGCATGCTCAGCACAGCTCTGGGAGGAAGCCCTGCTGTGATGGGTGGAAGCACAAAGCAGCCGTATTTAGAAAGCTGTCTCTCCACTTGAAGGGGACTAGTACTCTCCCCCAGTTTAAAAAAGTTATCTGACTCACGGTAAGGAAAGAATATTTAACCTCAAATTCTGCTTTGTTTTCCTTTTAGTAAAAACTAAGATATTTCTTTTACTTCTTGTCTTAAATGACTAAGGCCAAATTTTGAATTTCTCATAAGTTCACAAACATCACTTGGCTTACAATATTTAGTTGTTGTATTTAGTATTATTTTAGAAGCAGAATAGGATAGATGATTTAGATCTACAAATGATACTATAATCTTACACCATTTCAAACTTACTTGAACTTTCTTAAAAGATTTTGTTTGCTCTAAGAAGTAAGATATTGGGATGAAGGGGCCTTAGACACCAAGAGCTGAAACAAACCCAGCACAATAGTGACTGTGGTATTGAGCACATTTCTTAATGCTTCTCTGTTGAGGTGGGTGAGCTGATCGTTCACTGTAGGATTATGTAGTAAGTACTAAAAAATAGTTGTTGTTTTGAGTAAACTACATCTTGGCAATTAGCTAAATATAGGCATCATTCCAACTCTTTAAAGGAAACTTACAAATCCCGTTTAATTGTGGTTTTCAGATTTTAAGAACAATGAGATAAAAATACTTTTCTTAGACTTTATTACAGTTGATTGAGTTTGTGAAAATAGCTTCAAATTAAGATTTCTATATCAATTTTCTGCCTTAATAGTTTAAAAACCATTTTAGGGTCATATAAAAATGCGTAGGTCTAAAGTACTATGATTCCTCTTCCAAAGGCAGGTGTTAATTATATATACTTCAGGATGTCTAAACTACCTCAGTATCTCAATAGAGATAAAATGTGAAAAGATCAAAAAGAAAGAGGCAAACCCACCAGTACTGTTTCATTTGTGTAGTGAATAAAGACCTGAAGGATGCTCAGTACACTAAAATTCTAATTCGTATATGATTGCTATCGCTGAAAAATCTTCCTTCTTGCAGAACATTCCTAGAATTCTCAGAAACTATTGCCTCAGCTCTCGTCTCTTAAAAGTAGAAATTGATCTGCGTAAATTTGCCTTCTAGGAAACCTCAGTGCCAGCCGTTGTCATCAGGGCAGCATGAGTCAATGTTGCTTACACAGGTCTCTTCTGCTCTGTTAATTTGTTACTCTAAAAGTGTCACAGGTACTGCAGCTTCAAATTTACTACTTAGGGATTATGAGATGTAGAAGGAGCGGCAGGCTGCTTTCCCGCCACCCGGATCCCAGCTAGCTTACACCCGAAATAATTACATGGAAACTGTATTCTTTTAAACACTGCTTGGCCCATTATCTGTAGCCTCTTATTAGCTAACTCTTACATATTGATCTAACCCATTTCTAATAATCTGTGTAACACCACGAGGTGGTGGCTTACCAGGAGGATTCTAACCTGCAGCTGTCTCGGAGAGGAGAGTCATGGCGACTGCCTCACTTCCCTTCTTCCCAGCATTCTGTTCTGTCTACTCCACCCACCTATGTTCTAACCTATCAGGCCAAGCAGTTTCTTTATTAATTAGCCAATGAAAGCAACAGAAATACATAAGACTCTCCTACATCAATGAGAAAATGATGGGATACTTTTAAATTTGATTTTTACTTTTGACTTGAGTTGCCATACCAAAATCTTGTTAGAACTAATCAGAAAGGTAAGTTTATTTATGCTTCTTTCAAACTGTATTTGGGAAATGTGCAAACATTTCTTGAACTATTTATACTCTTAGAAAAGACAAGAAACCATTTTTTTGAAGAACAGAAGAGTGCTCACAGGCCGAGTTTGCATATGTTAATACATATTAGCTCGAGAAGTACACAATTAGTGTTATTTGGAAGTGGAGTGGCACATAATTTAAAACTTGTAAAAAGTATGCTGGGGTGCTGGAGAGATGGCTCAGCAGTTAAGAGCACCGACTGCTCTTCCAGAGGTCCTGAGTTCAATTCCCAGCAACCATGTGGTGGCTCACAACCACCTATAATGAGATCAAGTGCCCTTTTCTGGCCTACAGGCAGGATCCTGTATAAATAAATAAATCTTAAAAAAAAAAGTATGCTGAACTAAGATTTTCAACTGGATTTAAAACATATATGTACACACATATATACGCACACACATAACATACATATACACACACATACATATCTTGTGAAATGCTAGCTGACTTTGAAGTACTGTAATGATAAAGTAAATACTGATCTGTAGTGTTTCAGCATTTTACAGCGGCAAAACAAATGAGATTTAACAGTCTCTGTGTTAGTCTGTTATACCTCAGGTCTGCACTTGAGTGTGCCTGTTTTATTCCACACCACGTTCCCAACACCTAGAACAGTGTCTGCATTGAAAAAGCTACCCCATGTATATTTGACAGATGAGCACTCTGGAAATTATTTTTGATCTAGTACCTTTGCATAAGGCTTATTTGATAACCTGTTACCAATTATATGTAGGTGGAATTCATTTTTATTTACAGTTTAGTGAATTAGCCTATGGTTTTTTGTTCATAAAGTACTAATTAGTGGGAAACTGGAAAAAACTGAAAACTTAGTGTTTTCCGTTACACAGTTTTGTGTAGAATAACGTTTTAGAAATGAGTGTGCCCCAGAGAATAAAAGGGGTTGGAGGAGCACGTGGCATTGAGCCTTTGATGGGTTGCTTACAGCTGGTGCGCTCCACTCAGAGGGAACCCAGTTCCACTGCAGCAGGCTTAAGTGTGAGCTGGTCCTATACTACTATGTCAGAAACAGGAAGAACTGTGAGGACAGCAAGAGAATTAAGAGGGATTTTCTGATTGTGTTATAAATGAAGTATTTTCCTTCATGTGTTACTTACTACAAAGTCAAAATAGCAGTGCACGTTGTAATCAATAACCGTACTTACTATATGTATCTGTGACTATGAATTGGGTTTGTCCAGCACTTCAAACAGTCTTGTAATCAATCTCTAGTTTTATACTCTCCTCCCCTTTTATACTCTATTCACTCTTCAATAATTTTGATTACAACACTTCCTCTAAAAGAAAAAACTTGGACAACATCCAAATCGTTAATTCTACATCAGCATTGCTAACTGGGGACACCTGTAGGAGACCTCAGCTGACTCCCCCTGCCCCCTAGTTAATGATAGCTAGATCAGTTATCATTGGATTCATTGGTTTCTGTCTGCAGCAGTTCTAATGCCCTCCTTAGTGTTGACATTGTTATGTGTACAAGCATAGATCCTCCTTAACATCTCCTTTTTTCCGCTGGTCACAAGTCAGTATTCACTGTGGCATCAGCAAACTAAATTTGCACAGTCTTAATGGATATCAGGTGCCAATCTGTATAATTTTTTCACAGGTCATAACACATTGAGAGAGTATGTAAATTGTCTTTTAAGTTTAGTCTTTGATAGAATATGTAAAACAAATTCAAAGTTTGTGTAAGCAGGTTATTTTATTTTGCTGTTACCTAGATAAAGCTCCTGTAGAACGGGAGATACATTTGTTGTTCTGCAGTCTTGTTCACTAGAGGTCTCCTTACTAAAGCCACTAGAGACTTTTCTGTCCCAGATCATTTCACAAAGCTAGTGAGTGGGTCCTGCTACCATTGAGAAGAACTAAACAGTATTTGCAAAAATAGCAGTAAATGTCATACAGAGTGTATTTGTTAGGTTTATTTGTTTATTGCTGTTATTATTTGATGTTGCAAGAACTACACTCATCTAAAAGGTGACCGCGTCTTCAAAAGGGTCAAAAAAGGCTGTGTCTGCTCGATGGGTGTAGATGCAATGTGTTTCAATTTACAGGAAGGATATTGTTCTTGTTCTTGTAATAGGGATAATTTGGGAAAAGATACGGCATTAGAATCAGTCCTTAAATATAATTAGTCTCTTTCTGAATGTGGGCAGAGGTCAGGTTTGGAAACTGGTATGACACCAGTGAATCTCAGTGATTTCATTTAAAAAACAAAAACAACAGCAAAAAAAAATCACAAACATATTCTTCCTGAAGAAAAATAGAAGAAAAATTGAAGCTATAAGTCTCTAACTGCTTGACTTAACAATGTCTGTCTAATCCTACTCCCTAAGAGACAGGTTTTTCTGTCTTTTCCCTGGCTAGCGTCTTCAGGGTGGAGACAGAACTGAAACTTTAAAGAGGGAAGAGGAGGGTCCAGTGCATCACTTCAGCTGTCTGTGTGTGATTACTGTCTGGTAGAATGGACAGTAAGTGTTGGCAGGTTCCTAGCCTCCACGCTTGCCCTTTGTATCATGGGAGGCTCATTTCACAAGTACTTCCTGGTCCTTTTTGGCAGTCAATGTACTACATACTTCTTCACTTCTCTGAGTTTGATGGTTCACTTCCCTTAGTAACCCTGTCCCCACTCCCTGTGACTGTTCCAAATAATCTGCCCTTCTATTAACTGCTTTGCTCTTTGACTTGAAGATACAGAAAGAGAGAATTGAATGAGACTGAGAAACTACATGTTCCAGATCTGAGATGAGGCCCAGGTTGGATTGACAGAGGGGATTGTGACAGAAAAGCAGGAGAACAAATTGTTTAAGAGATTATGACAACACAGGAGAAAAGGTAGACGTGAGGATTAAATATAGGATGCCATCGACGGGGAAGCACTCCATTACCGGGACTGTAGTTAGAGGTTAGCTTTGGCCATTTTGTTTAAGACTTTGGAGAAACTCCAGTAGGAATGCCTGTTCAAGTAGACCTCAATATAGTACAGGCATAGCATGAAGAAGAGGGCAGAGCGCCATGTCTGTGACTCGGTACAGGGCTGAAATTTCTTGTCTAGGCATCTGCTGTGGGTTACTGCTTCAAGTTAACTAACTGGGTAAGTGCTAGGAAGGGAGACAAAGGGGACAAAGGAAGCCAAATGGAATGTGTTTTACTGTTGACAGATCATGATACACGAAGAAGAGTCTAAAAGCTGTTGATAAAATTTCTTCTTAACGGAATGCTAGGGGGTCACAATGCCTTTATCATCTGTTCTCTGTTAAAGGGATTCTTTATCTGCTGTGAGTTCAGCTTCTGTTGGTAGAGCATTAACTAGTTCTGAACTTTAAAACCATTGCAGTTTTACATTTGTCAGATTTCAAATTCAACAGCAGTGAGTTATATTTTACTTTCATTGTGTATCATTTCACATGTTATTCTTTAAAGAAAGATACTTTGAGTGAGCTAGTTTGTAAGTTGCTTTGAGGCTAGTACAGCTGTCTGAGATTCAGATTTTTGGAATAAGTTACCGAGATTCTCTTGTCTTTACTGCATTTATTTGTCCGGTCTAAAGTCTTTAATATCAATACAGGCTTGGGCCTGTTTATGAAACATAGACAGCATAATAGTGTTCATTTGTGTCGTTTGGAGGTAAGTGATTGGGAGCCTGAGATTAATGACTGTAGTAATTATCTCCACAGGTGGTCCAAAGGAATAGAGTGTTGGACAATGACTCTTTTCTATGTTCTATAATATCGTTCTTCAAGCACTAAGTTTGTTTTGCAGGTTTTAGGTCAGTAAGTATTCGAGAGCTCACCGGATGTTGGAAATCATACAGTAAAATCAAATGTTGTGCAAGTCTTATATATTTATTATAATTATTATTATAATTATAAAAATTGTAGTATAATTTATTACAAGTTTATTATAATTCATTCTTAACAAAATTTCCTCCTGCTTAGTGCTGTGAGGTCTCTGAGGCCAGTCTTCTCTTTCTTGTCTCAGTGACCTCTAATCATAACCTTTCTCAGAGTTTGATGTAGGCATGCATTCTTCTGTTGTACAGGTGGGTCTTCGTCTTCCTTTTCACACATATACTCCATATTGGGATTACTTCACTGTAGTTGCTCATCTGCCCAGTAGCAGTCTGATCTTGTCTTTGGTAGCTTCTCTGTATGTATGTGCTCTGTTGAAACATGGCCAGAGACACTGACAGTTTTTCTAATTAAAAGTTTATATTTTCAATTTTGTGTATATATGTTTGGAGTTATATTTGGAGTTAGGGGTTGTGCTTATGAGTACAGTGCCAGAGGATGTCATGCTAGGCTGTTGGATCCCCTGCTGTAGGTACAGGCAATTGCATGCTGCCCAACATGGGTGCTGGGAACTGAATTTGAGTCCTTTGCAAGATCAGTATATACTCTAAGCTTTTGTACCATCTTTCCAGCCCCTGGTAAAAGATCTTATATCCTATATATATTTCAAGATAATTTTTTTAAGTTGACTAATTTTCCATAAAGAAGATAGAGGAGGAACCTTTGTAAACAATATAAAAAGGTATTCTTACCTAGTCAAATAAAATGTTGCTCTTGTTGACCTAGACAGATATAGGCTCTGCTTGATTTACATTAAGAGTGCTTTGAAATCAACAGTAGAACTGGATTCCCAGATCCCTACCTAGGTGAAAAGCTGCTTCCTGTCAAGGGTCAGTTCCTAGCGAGGTCTCTGAACTGACACAGTGGCTTGTTATTTTTCGGTTTTCTTCTTGGTGAATTTCTGTCTTCTTCATTCTTGTGCGCTGTGTGTTATCTTCCTTACTGGTCTTCCAGTTACATGGATTGTTCCTTACCCCTGCAGCTACAAACCAGAACTAACTAGTGAGGCTGGCTGACCCAAGAGGGGGAATACGGTGAGAAGGCAGTGGGCCGCCTACTGTCCCCTTTGGGTTGACTGTCCTCTTTGTTCTCTAAGGAAGGCTTTATTAAAGGAATTGTGAGTGGTATACTTTATGGTCATGTCATAGAGTATGTGCAAAAATTTAAAAGCTCTTGGTTTAATTTTTAAATTTTATTTGGTTTCTTATATGTCAATGAAGATCAGGAACAAATTTGAAGAAATGCAGAGTGAATTGGTGCCAGTCAGCATGTCAGAGACAGCGCCCATGGCCTCCCTTTCTTCCAGCGCAAATATTGGGACAACACCTGAGATAAAGGAAGACTCGTGCAGCCCGTTCCCTGGTGACGAGAGCAACAAATTAGAAACCGAGTCTGAACTATTGCCATTGAACTCTGACAAAATTTTATATCAACCTAATGAACACAGTAGTAAAACTGAACAAGAAAATTGTATTCCAGACTGTGGTGCTGGTGAGAATTGTTGTGCAAAAACAGACACATGCCCAGATAACTCTGAACAAATAGATGATTTTCCTGCTGGGGACTTTGCAAAGCAAGTGTCAAAAACAAGTGACCCAGAACAGATGGTAACACAGATACTAGCAGAGTTAGGGTCACCTGCATTTACAGAAGCCAGTAATCCAAAGACTTCCTCAGCAAGCCTCTATGATACGGACTGCACCAGGAAACTCATTTCTCAGATAAAGACGGTTCCAGCATCAGACGATTTGTTGGGAGAAATCGAATCTGAGCTCTTGTCTGCAGAGTTTGCAGAGGAACACCAAGTCCCAAATGGAGTGAATAAAGGGGAGCACGCCTTAGCCATGTTTGAGAAGTGTGTGCACAGCAAGTACCTGCAGCAGGAGCTCACTATTAAAGAGTAAGTCTAGTGCTACGGGAAGAAATACGGGCAGGCTGCATTTTCTGTAAGGAAAGTAGCCTCTTTCTCCTTTTCATTTCAGAATGCAGCCACGCACATAGTTGGTGGGTGGGTGTCTGCTCCCTGGTAACTGAGCCACTCATGTTTGCTGCTGGCTACTGTTGTCAGTCGATAAGGAAATAAACATAATAACTCGTTAGTGTAGGCTCATCAGGGAGTGAGAACCTTTTACAAAGGCAGTTCAAGTTGTGTGTGTCAGGATAATTTTGAAAGGAAATTCAAAGTCATGAAATTTAAGTTTGGAAAAACAGAAGAATTAGTTGATTGAGCACTTTGTGCTTTTTGACTTATGCTTGTTTAGTGGTTTTTGATTTTCTTCAGCCTGGTTTTGTTGTTTTTTGGTTTCTTGAGACAGAGTTTCACTGTGTAACAATCCTGGCTGTCCTGGAACTTGTTCTGTTGACCATACTGGCCTCAAAAACACAGAGATCTGCCTGCCTCTGCCTCCTGAATGTTGGGATTAAAGGCATGCAGTACCATCTTCCATCTTAATTTTTCTATTTTTAATTAAAATTTTTTTTAAAAAAAAATGGGTGTGTTATGATGTGAGAGGTGTGCACATGTGGAAGTCAGAAGATGACTTTATTGATTCTAACCTGGAGTACTTCTGACCTGTGGTCGACTCTGCTTTCGTACCTGAACCATCTGTGCTTCTCTTCCTTTTAGACTTAGGGTAGCTGCTGCCTTCTTTCCCCGGCAGTCTGCACTTACTGTGGTAGCGCCGCCCCCAGAGATTATTTCTGATACCCTTTCCTATTTTTCTTAGATGTTGAATCTTAACAGTTTATATAGCACTTATAAATTTAAAGATGTGTACATCTACTAGTCTTATGTGCTAGTAATTATGTGACTGGCACGCCCCTTAAGTCATAGAATCTTCACAGATGCACTTATGTACTGCTGTCATCCTGCTTCAGGGTGAAATGGAAGTGTATACAGGCTTAAGAGCCAAGCTTTGTGAGTTTGGCTTTAGAAGTTTTCTCAATTATTACTGGAAACCATCGGGTTACAAATTGTGACTAAAAAGTGTTAGGAGTACAGTTAAAAAAAATCCTCTTTGTTCCACCCTGTCAGAGCTGTGTGGAAGGATGGGGTAAGGGCATTAATCAGAAGCCTGAAATTGGAAGAGTTCCATTGTCTGAGTCAGATTGTTCATTCCCGTGAAAGAGCTTGTGGATATTATGGCATTATTTAAGTGTCAATTATTATTATAAGCTTCACTCAGTTTTTTGTTTTGTTTTACATATAATATTTTTAACTCCAAATAAAACACTTGTTGGTTCAAGTAAGCAACTTAATGTTTTTCTTAACTCTTCCCTCCATTTAATATTCTGTGAAGAACATTAGCTTTCAGTTCCATTGATTGAGACTTTCAAAAATGCATCATTTCCCAAATGTCTGATTTGCTGAGGTTTTTGTTTGTTTGCTTGGTTGGTTTTTTTTCTGGCAAAATTGTACATATTGAAGATGTACAGTGTGATGATTTAAAGTTATTATAAAGTGACTCTGCGATCAAGCTGCAATCAAGATATCTGTCCTCTCGCATAGTTGTGTGTGCGCTGTGAACCCTTAAGATTTACTCTCTTTGCCAAATTTCCTGTTCTGTTTTCTCTCTTCCTTCTCTGGGTCTGTCTCTTGCTGTATGCCTGTATGTCCTGCCCCCACCCCCTTTCTTCCCTTTCCTTTCCTCATCCTCCTCCCCCCTTTCCTTTTTTCATCCTATTCTCCCTGTATTGTTCTCCCTGTATTGTGCTAAGGGACCTTAAAATGGTGGATATGTATCTTCTACACCCCCAGCCCTACTATCACCTCTAAATTTTCCAGAACTTGTCTTAATCTGGAAATTTGTACCCTTTGGATCTTATCTTCTGTATCCTCTTTCTGGTCCCTTGAAAATACCATGCTACTCTGTTCACATTCTGTTATCCATACATCAGTAGTATTGTTTAATGACCCAACTTAAATTCTTAAGAACAACTGTCTGTGTGGAGTGTGTACACATGACATCTAAGAATAACAAATTTAGGCTGAGGGTGTGGCCAGTGGTAAGGAGCTTGCCTAATAGGGCTGATTGACTAAAAAAATTTTTTTTAATATCTGATGTTTGAATCAACAAAGTTGAGTATTTAGGCTTGCTAACAAAACTAGCTGCTCTTACCTTTTTCATCTTCTTACCTTTTCTTCTGTAGACAGAATTAGAAATAGTTTATCCTTAAACTACAATCACTTGATTGTAAAGACATGCTCTGAAGGCATGATTGGGTGTAGGGTTTTGTTCTTATATGAGTGTGGTATTTTATTATAAAGAGGTTACTTGAGAGCATTAGCTTATATAATCATAGGTATCTATATCTAATCTGTAGATAGATACTATTCCATATCTCATTTCCCTTTTTGCCATATTTATATTGCCATTTTATATTTAGGTTAATTAAAGAAAATAAGAATCATCAAGAACTCATCTTAAATATTTGCTCAGAAAAAGACAATTTAAGAGAAGAACTGAAAAAAAGAACAGAAACAGAGAAGCAACATATGAACATAATTAAACAGGTAAAAAATAAATCTTCCAAGACCGTACTTAAATTTATAAAGTAAACTTCTGAATAAAATAGTGTAGTAAATTAAAGCATGTCAAGTTCGGGACATTACTTCATATTTAAACCATTGGAATGACTGAATTGTCTTATATAAATAATGACTTGTGTAACTGTTCCAAATAGGACGCATTTTTTGCCCAAACCATGAAAAAGGCCTGATTTGGTTTAATTTCTTACCAATTAAGGGAAGATGTATGTAAGAGTAGTAACAACACCTAGATGTTTCTGTCTGCCCTTGGGATCTTTTTCTCCTTTATGTTCTAGTATGGTTTCATTCTCAATGTTCTGTGAATTCTGCTGTGAAGGTCATGCCATGCTAACTGGACTCCGTAGCCAGAACTTTCCTTCTTTCTCTCTCTTTTAATGGGTGTGTTTGCTGCATGGATGGACAGACAAGTGCTTAGGTTGTTAACAGCAAAAGCCACTCTTGGTTTTTCTGAGCTGTTTTTCCCTCTGTGGACAAGGTGTGAGTGTCCTGTACCGAGGTGGCATGTTTTTGTGTGGCCATCAAAAGGTACACTTGAACTAAGAGTGCTGAGACAGTCGGGGATGCAGTCTTAGAGCGTGCCTACAGCCCGTCATTTGCACAAGTATCTTCATGCCTCTCATGAGGCATGACTGTCTCCTGTTCTTTCCTAGAAAGCAGTGTAATGAAGACAGCAAACAGCTGTATAATAAAAATCAAACCAAGTTTTCAGTTACTTGTGTTTCAATACGTATTTATTACAACTTTACATAATGAAAGGAGACTGTAGGCTGTTGTGTACAGTAGTTAATTGTGATTTTTATGTGCTCCAGGTCCCACATGTGGCCAAACTAAAAGGCTAAAGCCTGTGAGGGAAGCTGAGCAATAGTCAGGATAGATATTTTGCATTCTTCCTTTGCATTGTATGTATTAATTGTATCATTGGTCTATTTGGTACTGCTATAAACTATAACCTGGAAATCATTCCTTTTACAGTTAGAATTAAGAATAGAGGAACTGAATAAAGAAATTAAAGCTTCCCGAGATCAGCTAGTAGCGCAGGATGTCACAGCTAAAAACACAATCCAGCAGATCCACAAAGAGATGAGCCAGCGAATGGACCAGGTATTCATATCTCTGTTAATCTGGTAGTTCGGTACTTGTTTGTTAGAGTACAGCAGTTAGGCTGTTGTGACTCTGGTGGTATTCATACACAGCTTTTAAAAGAAGCCAAGGACTAGAGGGGTGGCTCAGCTGGGAAGACTGCTTGCCGGTCTTGCAGAAGTCAGGAGTTTGCGTTGTAGCATCCAATCAGGTGCTCCCAACCACCTGTCACTCCAGTACCTGGGTTCCAATACCCTCTTGTAACCTCCAAGGGCATTTACGTGCATGTGCTGAGACAAAAATACACACATACACATAAATATAAATACAAAAATAAATCATAAACAGTGCTAAGGCAATCATAAATACATGCTAATTTTAAAAATTTAATAAATTAAGGGACAAAATGAGTCACCTTTCACCTGTGTCTCCAGTCCCTTCCTCTTTTCTTATTTCCATAGGTAATTATTGACATTTTGTTGCATCACATATACCCGTACTATGACACCTGACACCTGCTTGCATATACGTGTTTTCACTAGCCCCTTATGTGTTGCTACAACAAAGTACTTGAGTCTAAGATACTCTGTTACAAAAACAGAAGCATATTTATGTTGTAGTTCTAGAGGTTCAAGGACAGGACAATCCAGACAGAGTAGTTGTGTTAGATGACTCCTGGTGACCGGAAACCAGACTTCACTCTTTCCAAGTGTCTCCCTACCGATCCTGCCAGCTGAACCCCACTGCAAGTGTGAGGATACAGGAACTTGTTCATGTGGACCACGACAGATTCCTGGGGCCCAGAGTGGCACAGAAACTGGCAAGGAAATGTATGCGGAGAAGAAGGGAACTATATATACATAAAAACCACACCAACCAAAGTAAAAAGTAAGAAAGGGCCGGGCACTTAGTACAAAAGTATGTGCCCACACTGCAGGGAATAGTGTTTATCTGTAGATGTTTTCATGTGAAAATATTTTTTTTATTAACGCTAGATAATGTTTTCTTTCAAAGGCCAATAAGAAATGTGAAGAGGCCCGTCAGGAAAAGGAAGCGATGGTAATGAAGTATGTGAGAGGTGAGAAGGAATCTCTAGACCTTCGAAAAGAGAAAGAAACACTTGAGAGAAAACTTAGAGATGCAAATAAGGAATTGGAGAAAAACACTAACAAAATTAAGCAGCTTTCTCAGGAGAAAGGGCGGCTGCAGCAACTCTATGAATCAAAGGTATAATTTGTGCCTAATCTGAAGGTCATGCCTCTTTTCCTAGTCACACAGTGGTGTAGGGTTGAAACATTTGGACAGAAAGTACTTTTTATTAACTGACTGACATGCGTGTTTTAGGTGCCTCATTCCCTGCTTATAGAAAGGTTTTTCTTAATCATTTTTAAAACTTTCTTCTATAATCCATTGGAAAAACTAGTTTGTATCTCAAAAAATTGTTTTGCTAAAGTATGTACATATTAGTGTCAGCTGTGAATAGCTTTAGACTCAAAAGTATAATTTGGCCAGGGTCTACTGTTGTTTTTGTTTTTGTTTTTTTTGTATTTAATACATTTTCCTCATTCGGTGCTAGGGATTGGGTTTAGGGCATCATACAGGCTAGACAAGGTCACCACTGCTGAGCGCATCTCCAGACCTGGCCAGAATCTTAGTGCAGTGCTTAATTTACCATAGACTAGAATTTATATTTTTCTTATTGAAAAATTTATTCTAGAATTGTCCTAGAAGGTTGAATAGCTGAAGTCGTGATTATTCAGAGCTGTTGCTATTGTCTTTTAGCTTGGAAATGTTGTTATTGTCCTCAGGGGTTCTAGCAGAACCAGCTCAGTCATGGTTTACTTTACTGCCAGGCAGTGAAGAAGAATCAGAGTGTGTTTGTCTTTTTCTGTATCCACTGGCTAAACTAGGTAATAACTGTCCTCGAATTTGATTTAGAGTTTTATTACTCTCTTATTGAACTTTAAATCAGCTTTATGGCCTGTGGGCCATAGTGTACCCACCTTTGAATTATTGTGTTATGCACAAGGATATAAAGACGCACAGTTGATTGTTTAAGTGAAGAATGACCTAATGTGCTTTTAGGAAGGTGAGACGTCTAGACTCATCAGAGAAACAGACAAGTTAAAGGAAGAGATCAGCTCTTACGTCATTAAAGTCAAGTGGGCACAAAACAAGTTAAAGGCTGAAATGGATTCACACAAGGTGAGTGCGGCCGTGCAGTGGGGTAGGTGTGAACACTGAGGGCAAGTTTGGAGGCAGCTAACGAGTCCTAGAATTTTTCTTAGTGACTCCTGCGGGGTGATTTGGATCTGAATGTTGGGTCATCATAAGAAAGGGATTTTCTGCCCAGACTTAGAATGTTAAATTTTATAATTCAGAGTTTACAACACCTAAGTTTGCCATGTTATTTAATATTTTTATTTTATTTTTTTGATACTCAAAATCTGAGGGGAGGGAAACTTCAATATATGTTATTGGAATTAAAATGAGGAAATTTAAAATATCTTAAGATTCTCATAATTAAAAATGCATGTTCGTATGTAAATATAATTAAATATAAATAGCTTATCTTTTCATAAATATTTTATTTCTACTATGCTGGCAAAAAAAAGTATGTGCGTGAACGCACATGTAGTGCTAGGCTAATTACCCTGTCACTGATTGCTTACTTCAAATATCATTTTATTTATAAATTAATATAATGAAATGGAGTAATAAAGTCCAGTAACTGGTAATGTAGCTAAAACACAAATAGAGTTGGTCTTTGGAGAAATAAAAATCTGCAGGTGATAAAATAATGGTAAAGATCAGCTCTTAAATGTGGCTTAGCTAGAAGGGTGGTGTTATGGAAATAGTGTGTCATTTTCCAGGTTTTTAAAAATAGGCTTAATGATGCCATCTAAAACATAATTTCAGGTTGCCTTCTTGTTGTTGTTATTTATTAATTGTTTTGGTTTTGGTTTTTTGAGACAGTTTCCTCTGTGTGTAGTCCTGGCTGTAGATCAGGTTGGTCTCGAACTCAGAGATCTATCTGCCTCTGCTTCCCAAGTGCTGGGATTAAGGCATGTACCACTACTGCCTGGCCAGATTGCCTTATTAAGGATTACCAAGTCAATAAAGTTGTTAGTTACCTTTGGATGTTTGTATGTTAGTGTCAGAAAGCTGTAGGTATTATGTACTGAGAGTGGCCAAAGGTAGGTTAGCAGTGAGTGTGTGGGAAACTACCAAGAACTCCCAGAAGCCAGTGGGGCAACCTGACTCACTCAACTACTCAAGATTTTCCTTGTACTTTGTGTTATGTGGTAAGAAATTAAAATCTGAAATTCATAAAAGATAATTTCTAGCTGCCTGAGTTGTTTTAGGTTCTGAGCACAATCCTCAATCATTTCTAATGTCTATGGCACTTTCTTTTCCTCTGTCTATATTCCTAAGAGAGAATCTTAAGGTCTTTTGGAATATTGGCATTAAGCGTGCATATCTGTGAGTCCTGACTAAGACAGGTTGTGAGAGATTTCTAACGGCAGCATTGAGAGGTGAAACCAGGTAGTTCAGAGAAGTGACTGAAGACTGATTCCTGTGAGCTGACGTGATGTAGATTAACCAGTCAGAGCATAAAAATAGTGAGCATATTGACTGCCGCATGGAAACTGGGGGTTTACTCGTTCTCTTTTAAGTAAGGCCTTTGGTTTAGCCAGCCAGCATTAGTCCTATGTACAGCAATGTGTTAGACAGTGCAGAGATGTAAGGGTCTGGAGATAGTCTTTGCTTTCAGAGTGTCTGCACCAGAACTGTGACTCAATTTGTTCTATGCATCTTCCTACTGGCTGGGAGATGGAAACTGAGTCAAGATTTAGTGGTAATCTGGCAGTGTGGGAAACCACTCAGATAAGCAAGAAACAGAAGTGGCTTTGTAAACTTTCCTGGGCCCCCCTTTAGTTTTAGATACAAATACTGGGATACTGTGGGTTCTGGATCTATTGTGAGCAGTAGCCCTGTTCAGCCCTCCAGAGCATGTTACCAGACTTGAAGTCTAAACTCTGTGTGTATCTGATATCCAGGTCAAGATCAGACTACAGAAATTAATTATTACCTCCCCCAAGCTCCTTTTTGGGTTTAACTAAAATTATTTCTTCAGTATCTAGCCCTTTAAAACAAAAGGTTTTTTTATTTTTATTTTTTTTAAATTTTGAATGTAGTGAATAATGAAGAAAGACTTTCCACATTGTACCTCATGTACTTGCTTATCTGTGTGGTTGACATGGTCTCACTTGCCTGACCTCAGAATAAGAAGATCTCACTGGAGCATAGGTATGGCTGGCAACAGATATGATCATGGTCCTTTGGCAGCATGGTTAGTTGTGTTGGGTGCTTGCCAGGCAGTTCTGCCCCCCAAAAGCTAGCATTCTGGAGTGGTGTCTTCAAGCAGTATCTATAGAGACAGGCAGGATGCAAGAAAACTTACCCTGACTTTGCGACTGACACTATTGTGTGTGTTCTGTCTGCTCCACTGCCTAAAGCCAGGGCCTGTGCTGCCTGTGCTCCACAGTCGCTGTCTCTGTCACCATGCTGCCTCATCCTCGTGGGCTGTCGGGCTCATTAGCAAGAGTTGGGAACTTCTGATGGTGTCCCACTTCCTAAGCTGCCATCTGTTTGTTCCATAGCTTTACTCTTGATTGCATTCTTGCACTGTGGGATAGCAAGACCCATACATATCCTTCCACCTTAAACTAAAAATCTTCCCAAAATACAGAAACTAAAAGGTAAAAGAAAACAAAACCTTATGTACACACAAAGGAGAAAAATAATAAAAATATGTGAAATGAAGGTTTTCAGACTTGAGACAAAAGACAGTATAAGATAGTGATCCCTGTCTGAAATAGATGAGGTTATTGCTGGGCTTCTGGCTGCAGCACAAGGAGAGGAATTGAAACCAGGCCCAGCACCTTCCTGGATTAAGGATATAGAATGCAAAGTATGGAGGACAGGAGGGCAGGGTTCAGACATGCAAAAGTAGTAGAGCCAACAACCTCTGAAGTCCTCATAAGGGCTAGGAAATAAATGTTCCTGTTGACACCAGCCAAAGTGCATGGACTCTCAGCACACAGGGCATCAAGTGGCCCTCAGCAAAGTACTAGTTTAGTTGTGAGGGTTATCTTACTTGAAATAAGCTTGCTTAAAAGGTATGTAATTTAGCTATGCTCTAAAACAAATTATAAAATATTTTCAAGTGATTGTAAAAACGTTGCCGAAAAGCACACAGTTCACTGTGTTTGACACCTAATGAAACATTACCTGCATGCAAAGAAGCAGAAAATTGTAGTCCATAGAACAAGAGGATCAGTCAATAGTAAATGATCCAAAATGACTCCTAGTATAGAATGGTAGACAAGGATGTTAAAGTAGAAATTATAAGTATCTCCAAAGAGATAAATAAAGGCTTGAGTCAGATAAAAGGAGACATGAATAGTATTTAAAGTTAATATTGATACAGTGTTCATGATGAAAACATTGTGTAGAATCAACAGAAGATGAAATACTGCAGAAGAGAAAATCATCGGATTGAACAGCAGGAGAGAGGCTGGGTGTGTAGCTCAGTTGATAGTTAAGCATGAAGCCCTGGATTCAGTCCCTATAAAACTGAGCCTAGTGGTGCATGCCTGTGATCCCAGCACTTAGACAGTGTGCTTGCCTGTGATCTCAGCACTTAGGCAGTGTTCAAGGTTATCCTGAGCTATCTAGCAAGTTTGAGGCCAGCCTAGACTGCATGAAACTTTTCTCAAAACAACAAAAATTCAGCAGCTTCCTGAGTGATTCCCAAATATACAGCTTCTACATATAACATCAACGCCTATGTTCAACTGCATTCTTTATACCTGGCATCTTCAATAATTTAGTGTCTTAAAATGAACTAATAAATTGTTTCTTCCCTCCATTATCTCCCTCCTCTGTCACCTCCTTATCTGAATAAATGATGAGCCAATCTTTTAGTTGCTCATGTCAAAAGGCTGTGTTCAACCTGATTTCTCTCAGCATATCCAGCCTCTCATCTTAGGCCTTTCAGGCCTGCATTTACCCAACACCTCACTGGAACTGCTTAGCCAGTCTGTGTAGGCTCTGAACCCCTCTTCTAAATTTGGTTGTTTTATTTTTATTCCTTAGTCTCTAATATAATGAACATGCCCTTTACTTATGTATTTTATTTTTTATTTAGCTTCATCAGTAGACTGTCAGTTTCATGGGGTAGAGATAGTTGTTTGCTTATTTAGCCATTTTCCTTGAGAATAGAATAGTGTCTGTAAAGGCTGGGGAGATGGCTCAGTGGGACACAGTGCTTACTGTGCAAATGAGACCTGAGTTCAGATCCCCAAAAACCCATATAGTGAGGGCACTCCTGTGGCGAAATGGGGGCTGAGACAGGAGCATCTCCAGAAACTTGTAGCCTAGCCAGCCTGGTGCATGCAGCTGCAGCAAGGTGGTCAGTAAGGGCTGACAGCTGCTGAGGTTGTCCTCTGACCTCTGCACACATAACACACAGGCATACAAGGTTTAATAAAAAGAAACAGTGCTTGGAAGTGCTCAGTTGCTAGGTAGATCAGATACAGTAAGCATCCTTAACCTATACACAATATGACTTTTTAAAAATTTATTCAAATGTTTGTTTAATTAGTAACATTTATTTGGCACATAGGAATCTCACTTGCTGGTTTTGGGGTATTGAAATGGTCCAGCACTATATGTCTGCTGTGTCTTAGTTCTGATAGTGAAGATGCAGAACCACAGTTGTTACCTAGTCTGAGGTTCTTTACTCTTCAGATTATTGAATTGTTTCTAGTTTAAGTGATGCTAGGTTTTAACATATGGTCACTTACTTAAAAGACTAGTAGTAGCTCAAGGAAGATAAGTAAATGCTTAATTATGGTATTTGTTGTTAAAATGACACATGAAGTAGTGTGTGGAGCCTAGATGCAGTGCAGATGTTTAGGAGAGAAAGGCAAAGCTGTTCCAAGTGTAAGAACAAAAGGAGAGCAGTAAAGGGACAGGGTGCTGACCTGCCTAGAGCCGAGGTTGCTGCCTGGCATTTCTTCATAGATGCTGTAGGTTTTAGCCACTTCTTTTTTTTCTCATCACCATGCCAGAACATGGGAGAAAGCCTAAGGAAGGTCTTTTGGGGTCATACGTTTGCACTATAGTAGGAAAGGCATGACTTGCAGTTTGAAGGGCCTGGTCACATTGCATCTCCTGCCAGGAAGCTGGGAGAGCTCACCCTCTGATGAGCAGAAAGCCACCAAAGAGCAATGACACAGACAAGAGTATGAGTGTTTTCAGTGGGAAAGGGGCAAGGGGTGTTTGAAGAGTCAAGTGGTCAGGACTAGAACAGGTGAGTAAAGAGTAAGAATGAGAAAAAAGCAGTTGGATTTGATGGAAGTAATCCCTAAAAATCAGTGTGAAGAACTGCCATTTTAGTAGAGAGGCTAGAAATAGAGACTTTAGTTCAGTCAAAAGGGAGCTTCAAATCAATATCAGACTCTGGGATGTGCAAAGAACCATTGAGCACCCTGCTTTTCTTACCACCTTACCCATTTTGAGGAATTTGGTGAAAACTGTCCATTTTAACTCATTTACTGTCCATCAGTTAACTGTGCTGACCATTTTCACTTTGTCAGATGCTTAGCCCTAGTCTAGTGCTCCAGCAGTGTCTTAGTCACTGCTCTACTACTGCGATTGGGTTGGCTCACAGTTTCAGAGAGTTAGTTCATTATCATAAATGTGGAGACCTACAGAAAGACATGGTGCTGGAAAGGGGCTGAGGTTCTGTATCTATATCTGGATCCTCAGGCAGCAGGAAGAAAGAGTGAGCCACTGGGTCTGGCTTGACCTAAACCTCAAAGCCCGCCCTAGGTGGCATACTTCCTTCAGCAAGGCCACACCTCTAATAATGCTCCTCCCAAGCCTGTGGGGCCATTCTCATGCAAACCACTGCAAGTAGGGCTTTTCTGGTACTGTTAATTTTGTGGTTAATTTTGTCTCATCACTTTATCACTACAGGACACCAAAGATAAACTCAAAGAAACAACTACAAAATTAACACAGGCAAAGGAAGAAGCTGAACAGATCCGGCAAAACTGTCAGGATATGATAAAAACATATCAGGTATATTTCCTTTTTGAAACAGACTAGTAATCAGAACTCTTGTTTTCACAGACTTTTTCCGCCAAATTTGAAATATACATGAATTTCTTAAGGCAGTTAAAGTAAAATGCAAGTTAGTTCCTCTGTTAAAGTACCTGCAGTTCAAGGCTGGGAAGCTGGCCTAGTGGGGAAAATGCTTGCTCAAGCAAGCATGAGAACTGGAGCACCCACATAAAATACTGGGTTTGGCAGCATGCATCTGTAACCTTGGCTTTGTCTGGGTAAAGAAAGATGGGGCAGGCGAATCTGTGGAGCTCACTGGCCAGCCAGTTGACCAAATGAGTCAATTTGAGGTTGTAGGATATCCTATCTCAAAACTAAGGTCGGTGGGGAGAGCAGTTAAGGAAGACCTGCTGTCACCTCTGGCCTCCATGGGCACATGGGCACACAATTGTACCACGTGTGCAGCACAGACTAATCTTATTAGAGATCTTCTCATCAAAAAAAAAATCCTAGAAAATGTCAAAATAATAAAGAGCAAATTAAGGTAATGGAGGGAAGAAACAATTTATTAGTTCATTCTAAGACAATTATTGAAGATGTCAGGTATAAAGAATGCAGTTGAACATAGGCGTTGATGTTATATGTAGAAGCTGTATATTTGGGAATCACTCAGGAAGCTGCTGGATTTTTGTTGTTTTGAGAAAAAAGAGCGAAGAAATGCACAACTTAAAACACTCTTCTGTAATATATTGTGATTCCAAAGTGCACTGTTCTTGTTTCTGCAAAGTTAACATTTAAAATTGTTCAATGAATTCTTCAATTTTAACTGCATAATCTACTGCACAATTAGTAAACTTGATTACAAAGCTTTGTTCACTTTTAAAGTGTAAGTACTTTTCATTGTTTTTACATTAGGAATCAGAAGAAATTAAGTCAAATGAACTTGATGCAAAGCTCAGAGTCACAAAAGGAGAACTTGAAAAACAAATGCAAGAAAAATCTGACCAGCTAGAGGTGAGGAGTTTAGTTCTGTGTTGTATCATGAATATATATTAGATTGCATAATGAGAAAAGGAATGGAGTGCTCATTACTGTCTGCATCCAAGACCTTTATAGAAGAAACTGGCAAGAAGCTGGTAGTGCTCATGTGTTGCATTAGGTTTATGTCTTTTCCAGATGCATCATGCCAAAATAAAGGAGCTGGAAGATCTGAAGCGGACATTTAAGGAAGGCATGGATGAGCTCCGGACACTGAGGACAAAGGTAATCAAATCTTCAGGCCTAGCTCAGAGTTGGGGTACATATCTTTCACTTAGAATTTACTCTGACTTTTAAGGTGTCAGGGAAGGAATACTTAAAGTTCTTTAAAATAAGAGAACTCAGGAGAAAAAAAAATAACATTTTCCCAGCACTGTTGTTGAGCTGAAGTGCTGTTAGTCACTGGAAGTACTTGCCATGCAATCCTGTTCAGAGCACACTTGAGGTGTCTGCACCTTACATATGGAGCTAAGGACAGTAAAGCAGGGTGGATGGACCTCATGGTACCTGAAATGTTCTTTAAGACTGAGACTGCTGGCTGTGTTTAACAGTAAGATATCTATCATTTTAGTTTCTAACGTTAGTGAATCCCATGTTTATAGCCTTTGCTGTTAGAGTAACTGTTCTTTCAGTATTCATGTGCTGTCTCTCATTTATGTAGAAATAGGGTTTGTGCAGTGTCTGCCACATCCTTCCTGTTCTGTCAGCTGTTCCCACCTGGGATGGCAGGGCAGGTTGTTCCTCAGATAAGCAGATGGGGGCAGTAAAGTGGTTTCCTATCATCTTCTCACCAGCACTGTAGGGTTATCTCGGGGTGCTGTGGGTCTGCCTGTCTGAGGCAGCTCATGCAGAGTGTGAAGGTCTGTGCTACAGCTTGACTGTGATCATTTTACAGGCAAAATGTCTAGAAGATGAACGCTTGAGAACTGAAGATGAATTATCAAAATACAGGGAAATTATTAATCGTCAGAAAGCTGAAATTCAGAATTTACTGGATAAAGTGAAAATGACAGATCAGGTACAAGAGGAGCTTCAAAGGTATGAACTGAGTGACGAGCTGTTAGTGCTGTCTCCAGATGGCATCTTTAAGTACAGCTACCATATCAAAGAAGAACCATTTTTATAATGCTAGTTGGCAGTTTTTCAGTTGTGTCTTTGGACGTTTTGTATTGTCTTCAACTTCTAAAAGTCAAAATACAATTTATATTTCATAGACACTGACAGAAACCATGCATAGATGGGGTGAACTTTGTCTAGCTTCACAACTGTCCCTCTTCTGAAAGAGGCCTGGATCTGTACCCAGATCTTTACCTTTGCATGTCTTTTGGCTTTAGGTCAGAGCTGGCATCATTCCCTGATGTCTCAAAAGCATTTAAACTTGACTTCCCATGTCATCCAGCAGAGCCTGGCTTCAGGTTAAATTTGTATTATCTGTGCTGCCCGTCTCCATGAAGAAGTGCTCCTCGCCCTCACAGCCGACTTCCTCAACTAGGGTACAGTGTGCCTGTAACTGGCGCTGTCCCCTCTCAGGCCTCCTCTCTCCTGAGTTGTACTGCTTTCTCCCTCCTAGCCTGTGATCAGTCACAGAAACAGAGGAGCTGTTGGTGGCTCTTCTTTCCGCTACTTGTGCTCAGTTCTTTGAGCTGCCGGCATTGACAGCCACTGTCTCCTGTAGGTCTCACCCTGAGTTGGATTATTCCTTCCACTTCTGCTGTGGATCCTATGATTACTCCTTTATCTCTTGTCTATCTAATGACTTTCATTTATATTTCTAAGAACTTTTGTGTGTTTGAATATATGTATGTGTGTGCATTACATGCATGCCTGTTACCTTTGGAGGCCAGAAGAGAGAGTGAGGTCTCTGGAACTGGAGTTACCAGATTGTTGTGAGCCACCATGTAGGTCTCCGCAAGAGCAGCCAGTGATCTTAAGCTCTGCCTCATCTCTCCAGCTCCTGTAAACAGAAGGCTGTTTAGAGCACAGCCACAATGATCCACTGAGTTTTGCCTGTGGCTGTTTTCACAGTGCAGTGACAAAGTACATCTGAAGCAAACAACAAACAGCAGCTGAAGCAACAGCATGACTCAGATACCTGCCTACCTGTTCACAGGATGGTGGTCACACATACTGAGCTCAGGCAGCCTGAGCTGCCTCACACTCCTGTCATTGACCTGCTCGCTAGAGAAGCTCTTTGAAAGCAGGCCCTGCTAGCCATGCTCACTTACCTTCACAGCTCTTCCCTAAACATATGAGCGTGTCATGAATGTTTGAATGGATGCGTGATTACAAGGACCTCTGTATAAAGCTCTCTATTAAGTGAAAATTCCCACACCATCAATTTAATGTTTTGTAATAGCTTACTTAAGTTTTCTTATATATAAACTTTGTTTTTTAGTGGTAAACAAGAAATCGAACATTTGAAGGAAGAAATGGAAAGCCTTAATTCTTTGATTAGCGACCTACAGAAAGACATCGAAGGCAGCAGGAAAAGGGAGTCTGAACTCCTGCTGTTCACGGAGAAGCTCACTAGTAAGAACGCACAGCTGCAGTCCGAGTCCTGCTCTCTGCAATCACAAGTGGACAGCCTCTCCTGCAGCGAGAGCCAACTGCAGAGCCAGTGCGAGCAGATGACGCAGACGAATGCTAACTTGGTGAGGATAAATGTGCATTTTGTTTGCCTCCACGTGTGTCTGTACAGAGGCCAGCAGAGAGTGATGATCCCCTGTCCACTGGAAGAGCAGCCAGTGCTCTTAACTACTGAGTCATCTCTCTCCAGCCCCCAGAGTTAGTTCCTAAAACAACATAGCATTTCTTTTATAATATCCAAGTATAGTGTAATTAGGTTTAGGTTCTTTTAGTAATACCTGGTAATTTTAAATTTTGTAAAAATATATTTGCTTTTCTGTTTAGTGAATATAATTTGTATAATAAAATTTTCTAAAATGACAAAGAATATTGAATTTTTTAAAATAAGGAAACCATGATTTCTGTCATTCTTAACTGGAATCTCCTTTTTTTTTTTTCAGGATTATTTATTTATTTATTTATTTATTTATTTTGGTAGTTTAGAGTGGTATAATATTCCTGAGTAATAAAAGTGCCGTCTAATTACTCATGAAAATAATTTTAGCCAGTAGGGCTAGTGGTGGCATACAACTTTAATCCCAGCACTCTGAAGGCAGAGGTAGGTAGAACTCTGTGAGTTCAAGCCAACCTTGTTTACATAAGCAGTTCTCAGGCCAGCCAGGAATACAGTGAGATCGTGTCTCAATAGATAAATAAACAAATGAGTGAATAAATGGAGTCTTTAGGAATGTAGTGAGACCTTGTCTCAACAATATATAAATAACAAATAAATAAGTAGATTCAGTCTTTTGACTTAAAAAATCCAGAGACACTGCAGATATGTCCCACACTGAGCGTCACCCCCACCATGTTGATGTTTTCTGAGCTGCTGGGTGAAGATGGGCAGGAGTGTCACAGCACAGTCTATTTTTCTTTATATTTTTAAGTTTTTTAAATGAGCAGTAATGGGGTGGGAGGAGAAGTGCTTTTTAATGATATGGTACTTACTGTTCAGGAGAGCAGATTGCTCAGAGAGGAAGAGTTGCGGAAAGAGGAAGTCCAGAGCCTGCAGGCTGAGCTCTCCACTGCGCAGATGCAAGTCAAATCCCTGAGCACCCAGGTGGAGGAACTGAAAGACGAGTTGGTGACGCAGAGACGCAAACATGCTGCTAATGTCAAGGACCTTAGCAAACAGCTTCAGCAAGGTACTCGTGTCTTCATGTTGACTCCAGCATATGTCTGTGTTTGAGACTGATGTGGGAGGCATGCCGTCTCCATGTGCACCCACATGCCATCATCCTGTGGCTATCTTCCTGACTTCACATACTCAATCTTCTGCCTCATGCTCCTCAAGGTTAGGAATAAAGGAGTGTGCCACTGTGCCCAGCCTGTATATTCTTTTCCACTGTGTTGTATCCACAGAGTAAATTAAAAATGCTAAGATGGCTAAGGTTGCAATTCTGTACATAGTTTGCTCTCATGCTAAAGGCTGTTTATTCACAAAGCCATAGAATGTACAAATCAGGAAAATCCCTTTGGCCAATTGGGAGGGAGAATCTAAGCCTTTTTACTTTGCATTCCAAGACAGGGTTTCTCTGTAGCTTTGGTGCCAGTCCTAGAACTAGCTCTTGTAGACCAAGCTGGCCTCAAACTCACAGAGATCTGCCTGCCTCTGCCTCCTGAGAGCTGGGATTAAAGCCGTGTGCTACCACCGCGTGGCTGCAAAGATTTTTTTAAATGTATTTTCCCCCTTCCCAAAACTCATGTATGCTAGTGCATGCCTGCAATCTTGCAGGATCAAGTTTGTCCTCAGCTACATAGTGAGTTCAAGGTCAGCTGAATTCAGTTGTTTTGTTGTTGTTTTTGTTGTTGTTTGGTTTTTCTTGAGCTCTCTCTACTTTTATGTGTGTGATATTTGGCCTGCACGCCTGCTGTTCATGGACACCAGAAAGGGGCATCAGATCCTCTGGGGCTGGAATTATGGATGGTTGTGAGCCACCACAACCACGTGGGTGCTGGGAATTGACCTGGGTCTTCTGGGAGAGCTCTGTTTCTGGTCCATCTCTCTCGCCCTGTTTTTTACACATGTAACTGAAGACATATTTGGGAGTGATTTCTGATATTGAGAAGGATCTGAAAGTTAACAGTCTGTTCTCAGTTGTCTTTGTGTTTATTTAACCTGTGCATTTCCAAACGTCATTCTTATATGAATGGCATCTCCAGTGTTCTAAGATACATTTCAAGAACCTTTGTCTTGTGGTCGATGCCATTTTTCCCAAGTGACTTTAGCAGTTAATATCACATAACATGAGCAAATAAATGTTGATTAAAACTGTCACAAGTGATCCATTTCTTTGTTTCAGCACGGAAAAAATTAGAGCAGACTGAGAATGGAAACTACGATAAAGAAGTCAGCAGCATGGGAAGCCGCTCCAGTTCATCAGGTAAGATGAGCTTAGTTGGTAGCAATTGTTTTTTAAAAAATTTTTTTTAATTTTAAGAAGTATTTATATGCTGTGTTTTATTTTGAGGCTTAAAATAGGCATTACATATAATTAATTATATTGTAGAAAATATACCTTTTTTAATATTTACATTCTGCTCTTTGGCAAGGTTCCAAGTTTATCTTGGGCCCTATATGAGGCCCGTTTTCTCTGCCTGCACTTCTGTATCTGTGCAGCCTTTCCTTTTAATTTCTCTAGATTTATGTCCAGCCGTATCCATTATGTGGACTCTGTTCCAAATGTTAACACCTAAGAAGTGATGAAATGGCCATCTTTATTGTAGCATCGGGTTTATGCCTCTAATTCTCCTTTGATATTTACAGGGGTTGGGTTCAGAGCATGCAATGGACACTAAAGTCTTGTGTAAATGGTGCAGTCTCTGTATGTAATCTGTGCCATCCTCCCACAGGCTTTAATTCATCTAGCGTGTATAGATATCTCACGTCCGACACAGTGCGAATGTCCAAGGTGTAGTTATTAAGCTGAAGCTGTTTGTTTAGGTCATAAAAATCTGCACGTGTTCAGTGTAGACACTGTTTAAAATGTATTTCCAATTTGGTGTTTGTTGAACCTATAGATGGGGATTTCACACATATGGAGAAAACAATTGTGTGTCTGTATTTATTCTGTTTTTCTCTGTCTCTGCCTTTCTTCCTGTTGATCCTTTGTTTTCTTTTTGTTAGAGTCTAAAAATTATGTGTTAGGGTCAAAGCCTCAGCAATAGTTACCATAGTAACAATGTGTGAACAGAAAGTACCTGGTTCGGAATTGCCACTGTGTCTTAGGTCCCATCTTACTTGGTTGTGTAATGGGGCTAGGGTATCATTTCCTCAGGTTTGTGACAGGACTGAGGAGGCCATTTGTGTTAGGTGAAGAGGTTCAGACACTGATCTGCCAGGGTCTGCTGGGATGCTGACATTTACAGAGTCTAGGTATGGGGAGCATAGATACTACATGCATTATTGTACTGGCGTCTAAATGAGGGTAACAATCCAACGAGGTAAATCACAAATTTTTTTTTTTAGCAGAAATAGCCTAGGCACTGAGGTAATGTGTATAAAACACACTAGTAATGTGACTAGTAAGTGGATTTGAACAGTGATTTTGCCTCTATTGGCAGTTTGTTGTCTCTTTCTTCTGTATCCTGCAGAATGTCTGACAGGTATGTCCTCCCCTCCCACACATGCCTCTTTTCCTCTCCTACCCAGTAAGCAGAGACTGCGTGTTTGTTTCTCTGCCATCCAGACCCGAAATAATCCCACAGAAACTATATTAATTAGAACAGTGGTTGGCCAATGACTTAGACATGTTCCTGCCTAACTCTTACATCTTAAATTAACCTGTTTCTATTCTGTGTATCACCACAAGGCACTGGCTTACCTGGTAAAGTTCCAGCATCTTTCTCCTTCGGCATCTACATGGTTTCTCCCTGACTGCCTACTTTCTCTCGGTATCTCTGTTCAGATTTCCCACCTGGCTTGACTCTACTAAGCCATTGGCTGAAACAGCTTCTTTAATAATCAGTGGTAATAAAACATATTCATAGCATACAGAGGGGAATCCCTCATCAGGACCCTTTTTCCCTCTTAATGTTCTTATTGTTTACTCTTTGAATTCTTTAAGCTTGCTAGTCTTTTTTTCCTTTTTTTAAGATTTTGTCTGTTGTCAGTTTTTCATCTCGTTCTTGTGTGACGTAACAGGCATTGCTGACCGCTGCTGTTATCTGTGTTTCACAAAATAATGGCGGCCACATGAAGCCCATTATGTGTCCTTTGCCCAGCACTGAGCAGTTACTATGAATGAAATGAGGGGGCCTAGGTCACACACACTGACTGAACTTGCTTTTCTGTCTTCAGGGTCACTTAATGCTCGCAGCAGTGCTGAAGACCGATCTCCAGAGAATACCAGCTCCTCGGTGGCTGTGGACAACTTCCCAGAAGTGGACAAGGCCATGCTGATTGAGAGGATAGTGAGGCTGCAGAAAGCGCATGCCCGGAAGAATGAGAAGATAGAATTTATGGAGGACCACATAAAACAACTAGTAGAAGAGATAAGAAAGAAAACCAAGTATGTATTACTGTGGTAGTATCGCCTGTGTTAGAGGACTGCCATTTGCATGCCCTCAGAAATTGGTGAAATGCTGGTCTTTTCCATGGGGTTCACCATGTTATCCAGGCTGACGTTGCATTCCTGGGCTCATGTGATCCTTTGGTATCAGCTCCTTGAGCAGCTGGGACTATAGGCAAGCGACTCTGTGCTTGGCTTAGTGATTCCTTTGGCATTCCGTACTCCATCTTTTTTGATCACCTGTTGTATTCTAGGTTTAGGGGATACAAAGAGAAAGAAAATCAAGTTTCTCTTTAAAGGTAAAACTTCAGGAGAGATAATGAGAGAGAGAGGAAGTGGAGGGGTAGTGGTTTTGCTTTTTAACATACTAAAATAACTTGGGACATTTTTTTAAAAATGCATTTAGCTTTTAAAAGATATCTGAAGTTTTGAGAGGTTTGTTCCTACTGGTCAAAACCTAATGGGATAATAGTTGAGCTCCTCTTGGTATAAAACATTGTACTTGGGGCTGATTAATCAGGTCCTTAGGTCCACTCATGCCCACTCAACAGCAGAGTGGGTTTTCTGAATCTTCAGGTTAGTGCACTAAGTTTACAAGACCAGCCCTTACCTGCAAGGGTCAGACCCCAGCTACCCTCCAAACCCATCCTAGCTGAGCCACAACCTGGGTGGCCTCACGTTCCTCTCACAGACACCACGCTTAAGTAAGAGTTGTCTTCATATGAAAGTCTTCTCCTGAACCTTTTAAAGTTATTTTGAAATAATTTTAGACCTATAGAAAATTTTGCTTGTAGATTTTAAAAGAAAGGGCAAAATAGAGTTTAATAGAAACTATTAACAGAAATCAAACCAATAAAGTAATGACTAAATATTTACATACAAGTACAGAAAGAAACAAAAGAGCTGTGTTTATATTTCTTTAAATACCCCAATACAATGAAAAAGGGACAGTTTAAGACACCATTTAGTAAGGAAAATTCTACACCAACTTAGGTTATTGGCCTAACAGATGTATATTTTATGCTAATCATCTTTATGCTTATGATTCATTGATCCCTACAAATCACAGGGTTTTTTGTTCTGCAAGCACACAGAGTATCATTTTGTTTTGCAGAATAATTCAGAGTTACATTTTACGAGAAGAATCAGGCACACTTTCTTCAGAAGCATCTGATTTTAACAAAGTGCATTTGAGTAGGCGCGGTGGCATCATGGCGTCCCTATACACATCCCATCCCGCTGACAGCGGGCTGACTCTGGAGCTCTCTTTGGAAATCAACCGGAAATTACAGGCTGTTTTGGAAGATACATTGCTTAAAAATATTACTTTGAAGGTATTTGTGTTTCCTATTCATTTCCCACTCAGTAAGTGTGGCACAATGATGCCTCTTCATAGTTGGCTAGCACTGGCTGTTTACCTACCACAGGATACCATGGTACCCAGAGATAAAGTCAGTGTCAGGCACTGAGGCGGACTTTTTACTTCACTATGGATGACTTTTGCCATATGACTGCAATTAATTATAATTTTTTTAACATTATAGCATTTTAAGTGTATTTTGTGACTTTTTTTTCAGCTATTGTCAGACCCAACTTTTCTGTCTTTGCTATGCATGGGCCTTGATAGCTACTAACAGATTTTTTAAAATAGTTTTTAATATTAAGTAATCATTACGCATTAAAACTTGACATAGCTGTAGTGAAAGATTATAACTGGGTCAGATGTGGTGGTGCACACCTTTAATCCTAGCACTTCTGGGAGGCAGAGGCAGGAGGAATTTTTTGAGTTTGATACTAGCCTGGTCTGTCTACATAGTGAGTTCCAGGATAGCCAGAACTACAAAGAGAAACCCTGTCTCAAAAACAAGAACAGAGCTATTTCACTAAAACATGTGTCTAGTTTATATCAGTAGCAAGAACTAGTCACTCAGTCTCACAGTTGAGGCAAAAGCAGTTCACAGGGTACTTGTATTATACTCAGTACTTCTGTTTTCTCTTCCCCACTTATTAAAGGAAAATCTGCAAACACTTGGAACAGAAATAGAACGCCTTATTAAACACCAGCATGAACTGGACCAGAGGACGAAGAAAACCTAACACAAAAACTCTTGCCCAGTAGACAGACAAGAGCCACAGAGCAGCAGGTGCCACTGTCCAGTGTCCTGAAACAGTCCTTGCTTTGTGTCAACTAATCAAAAATTCGTTTTACTTCCCTGTGTAGAAGTGCCCTTTTATGAATGCATTGATGTGTGTGCCATAACTGTCAGCTCAGTGAAGTTCATTTCTACGCGGTACAGTTCAGCCACCTTGTCACTGACTTCAACATCTAATTCGCTTATTGCCTTAAATCTAACTAAACATTAGTACAAGGGTTTAAAAAAAAAACTTTGCCATCATTCCTCCCTTAGTGATTTCTTCCTTTGAAAGTATTTGCAAAAAGGTGTTCTCCATCCATCCATTCATTGTTTCTGCAACACAAAAACAAACCTAGAGAAATCATGAAGTTTTCCAGTTTTGATCTGGACACAGTGATCACCTGTAGTTCTAGCTGCTTCGAAGGCTAAGGAGGATCTGGAGCTCATGAGTTCAAAGCCAGCCAGGGCAACATCCCAAAACCCCATCACAATTAGCCTGAATCACAGAGTAGCCTTGAGTTGTGCTTTAAGGATGGATATGAATGCTTAATTCTGATTTTAATGACAACAAGACAGAAAAGCTGGCTGTTGGTAACTAGCAGTGACCAAGCACTATTTGTGTCTGTCAGGTTTCCTTATTTGGCATAGTTACATTTTCACATTTAAGTTGAACTTTTTAAATCTTCAGTTATACTTAACTATGATTTTAAACAATTGTGTATACTTAAAAATGTCCTGTGGATTTGTTAAACTTTAAAATGTGAAGTGAATCCAATCATTAGAACAGATAAATGAAGACTTTGAAACTGACATTCTTTAGTTTTACTGATATTGTGTAGAGGTAAATGCAACAGACTTAACGGCAGTGGTTCTCAACCTGTGGGTCGCGGCACTAGTAAATGTAACAACCACTGGGTTAAGGGGTTCATGAAGACCACATTCCCAAGAGAAGCCAACACTTAGCACTGTTAACTTTTCATGCGTGCACCCATTCTTCATTCTTGATAGTTAATTGCATAGCATAATGAAACAGTTTCCCCAAATGTGATGTTTCACTATATTATTTAAAACACAGTTATATCTTCATAGCCAAAGGAACTTAGAGCCAAATTGTTGTATCTTGTTGGATATTTACAGTATTTAAGATGTATCCTTAAATGTTGCCAATTGTGGTACCAATGTTTTTGTCATTGAATTTTTTTTCTCACCTACCAGAACCTAAACACTGCATTATGTTCAAATCATCTGTATCCTGGGAGACCTTGGATCATATTTGGCAAGCCTCTGTTTTTTGTTTGGGCATTTTTTTCCTCTTAAGGAACTTGAACTTTGGGGGTAGACCTTTAAAGAATTGTATGGGCTTTAGCGGGCATAGTAACACTTGCCTGTAACCCCAGCACTCAGGAGGTACAGGAAAATTAAAGGGCAGCCTCAAGAACAAAGTGAATTGGAGGCTAGCCTGGGCTATGTGAAGCCCCATTTTATAAATAGAATTGTGTGGGCTCTAAAAATTTGGATCATGTCCTTTTAATGTGTTTTAACATTTCCTTAAATCAACATTGATTATAAATGTAATTTACTAAATACTAGATGTCAATATAGTGTGTTTTTGTGATATCTCTTGTTATCCTAGAAGTATCTCTTAGCTTCAAAGTGAAAATGCATTCAAAGTTGTTTTATTTTTAAATAGTTGTAAAAAGTATTAGTCATAATGTCTTGCTCTTTTTATTATTAATAATTTATTGGAATAAAAAATAGGGTAAGTGCAATAAATTCTGAATTTTTTTCCCCATTTGTTCCTAGACAAGCTGTAACACTCCAAAGATCTACATAGCATAGGCAGTTTAGCTACACTTCCCTGGTTTCTCCGGTGATATTGATTCATAAGTTACAGTGATTGGATTTTTTAATTCCAAGACACAAACATGCATAACGGAGACCAAATAGTGATCATGTCCACAGTATTCTGTACCTGTGTATGGAATACTTTAAATTATATATGCATTCAGTACAGAGTGAACAAATAGTGTTAATATTTATGCCACCATGTACTTGGAAAACTTAATAATGGAATAATTAAAGATATTACTAAAAGCCATACTTTTATCATACTATCGTCTTTTTCCTATCTCTGAGGCTTAAAAGCTGAAAAAGTCTTATCTTCTTTTTCATTTGCCATCTCCTGTGTCCTTCCATACATGGTCTGGACTGAGCAAAGTAATGCATAAAAACACGTGTGTTGGGGAGAGAACCTTCTAACTGATTTATCAATGGCTCCGCTGCAGATTTCTCAGGTCCTCCTACTGATTATGTGGAGGAAAGAACCTGAGAACCCAGGGGACTTGTTGTATTTGATCATTGTTAGTTACAAATGTGAAGGACTGTTTTAGTTATTTAATACTTTGGTGTCCTTGGGCAAGAAATTGTGTGTGTGTGTGTGTGTGTGTCTGTGTATCTGTGTGTCTGTCTGTTTGTCTGTGTGTGTGTACGTTTTCCCTGTTCTCATTTGAAAGTGAGTGCTCATCACTCATTCTTTCCCATACCCCCTGAGATTTTGAGTCTGTTAAACAGTCTCAGGGATTAAACATGGTGAGTATGGACAGAATGAACAATTGTTGATGATTTTGTTTTGTTGTACTTAACTATTTAAAGTGGTTCAACCAGACTACACATGTCATTTATTCATTTAAGAAATATATTTGCATAATAGACCTTGTCAGGCACCCTAGAGGAACCGTGGTTATGGCTTTCCAGTCTCTAGGAACTAGCAGTCTCATGCCAACAGCAGGACAGGTCTTCCGACCTGGCTCCCACGTCAGCCCGTTACTGGGCTGAGCAGAAAGTTGATGGACTTACAAGGTAGATAGCTCGAAAATCCGAGCCCGACCTGGAGCTCTGACTCGGGGAGCACTGCGAGCACAGTGCTGTTTCCATGCTGCTCCTGCACATCTCCGCACTTGGTAAGGGGAAACCTGAAGACCATAGCATGGTATTCGACCTTTATCACCTAGTAAGTGTCTGACTGGTGCCTGCTTAACATCCCGAAATGAGTCTATCATTCAGCCTTCCAAATTCTCTCTACAGGATGTTGATTATTTTCTAAATATTTTTACAAGAAAATTTAGGCTAAAATCTGAAAGAAAAAAACTCAGAAACTGTTAATAATGTAAATGTGATATATGTTGCTCTGGTGAGGATATTTTTATAAATAAGGTCATTCATGCCTTGGAACTGTTGACTCTACCAATCTGCTTTTCGAGATTTTTTTTCTTTTTTTTTTTTTTTTTTGTCCAGCGAGGAGTTCACACTAATAACACTGTTAAGCTAGTTGGTGGCACTAGTGACTGGAAAATTGTCAGAGGTGTACAAGAGAAATCATTGAGAAAGCAAACTAAATGAAAACTTAGTTGCATATTGAAATGTATATGTTTCTTCTCGAATGGACTCCTGAACTGCACACGGCTGTCCTTTGTGACTTCTGTTATCTTCTCTTCCTGACTGCGTGGATGTCCACACTGTATAGCTACCCCTGGATTACACTGTGCACTCTGTACATACTCTGTATAAAACGATGCTCTTCAGGGGCTCTGTACATTCTGTACCTATTAAATAAGCAGCCTGTTTACCAAGCTGTGTCTCGGTGGCATCTGTAGTGACTTACACACTTCACGTGACTAAACAAATGTTCTCCACCATCAGTGAGACTCTTATAAACTGCATGATTTTGGTTTTTAAACTAGATTCTTTAAACTAGATTATTCTTGCTTCTCATATGTATCTTTATCCTATCAAATATGATTGAGGTAAGGTTAAGTCGAATGCCAGATTTCATTTTAAATTTAAACTATAGATAGCAAAACTGGGTATTCTATAGAAGACGTTAGTTCCACAGACTAGAAAGTTTTCTTCTGGCTGGTAGCCTTGTGGTACGATCTGACATTTCACAAAACTGGTTCTTCTGTGCCCACTGTTTCCAGCTTCTTTAACAATTAAGAACCAATTCTGTGCAAAAATGGGTTAACACACACTGAGTATTTCACATCGCTTGTTGTTGCCTTGCATCTCTGGGGTTCTGGTGCTTCCTGCCCTGAAATTCAAATCTGTAGAGCGCGGTACCTGACAATGATGGCTTCCACCATGTCCTCTGTAGCTGCCTTTCAGGAACCAGTGTGTATGTGCTCACACGTCCTGCTTCTACTGGCTAGTCACCGACTAACATCTAAGAAACAGTTTGTGTAAAACAGCACCTCGGATGGAAGGAACATGGGGAATTTCCAGTCATCTTTCTTACCTTAAGGTCATGCTTTTTTTTTCTTTCTTTCTTTTTTTTTTTTTTTTTTTTGACTGCCCATCATCCTTTGACATGGCAGTTTCTAGATAAAATAAACCAGGAACTACATTTGCTTCAGCAGAGACTGCGTACACATATTTTTGAAGTTTTTGTCTTTAGTGCTAATGAAAATGATAAGGGTGGGAGGTGGGTTTGTGTGTTCAGCACCCTCCCATGTCTCTTGCCTCAAGCACTGACCGACCAGTAGTTTTTGTTGGACCTGTGTTGTGAGCACCCCCTTAATGCACAGCTCTGCTGCCCTAACCGTACATCTATAGCTTTGTTGTGTTTATCCTACCTTGGAAATGGCTAAAATAAATCTTTAAATTGTTCCAGGTATTTTGGGCAATAATAACTAAGCAGTATGGATAAAACTTCAGCTTAGGTGGAAGTGACTTGTTTCCGATGCTGTGGACTGGGTGTAGATCGAATGCCGCCTATAGTTGGCAGCCCTTAACTAATAGGTCTTTCAGGAAAGATGTTTGGTGATTCCTTGATTACCAGTCAAGCTAGAGAATCATATCTAGTGATAAGCAGCAAAGTGGTTGAGCATTTCTGTTTATTTTTTTTTAAAGATCATAGAAGATACATTCCAAAGGCATAGAGATGGGTGTGTCGTGTGTTGGGTGCATGGGGTAAGAAGGAGACTTGCAGAATGGTTGACAGACTGCTCTGATTCTTTGTTATGTAACTTAAAGATGACTTTAGGGATACTAGTGTTTGAGCCTTAGCTGTTATGGGTGAGGTGCCACACAGCTGAACTGTGTTATCACTGGCTCTCTAGCCTGAGCCGAGACTTACGAGTTGCCCAGGCTGTCGTTGAGCTCACTGTGCAGTCTCGGGGTCCTGGCCTAAGGTTGCCCCTTGGGAAAGTTCTTTAAAGCCACTTTAGGAAACCAGATTGCACTGCGTCTGATTTCCCCAGGTTAGCCCAATTTTTTAGAGATTCATTGACAGAAAAAGTTAAGATTTAGAATATTAATATTGGCTTCTGAATATGAGAAGCAGAGACGATGCTAGTTGGAGGTACCTGGGTAGAGCTGTGTAGTAAAGGCCACGCTCAACCCAGAAGTCACAAGTCACCCTGGGTAATTCTGGATATGTTGTGAATGAGGCGAGCAGGCCTGCTTTTCGCTGCCTGGCTCCTGCATGGCTAGCTTAGCCACAGAATAATTACACAGAAACTGTATTCTTTTAAACACTGCCTGGCCCATTAGTTCTAGCCTCTTATTGGCTAACTCTCACATCTTGACTCAACCCATTTCTAATAATCTGTATGTCACCACGAAGTCGTGGCTTCCCGGGAAAGATTCAGTACGTCTGACCTGGCAGCATCATGGCGGGTGGCTCTCTGCCTCTACCTGACTCTGCTTTTTTCTCCCAGCATTCTGTTCTGTCTACACCACCCACCTATGTTCTGACCTATCAGGCCAAGCAGTTTCTTTATTAATTAACCAATGAAAGCAACATATAGAAAGAAGACCCACCTACATCATGGGTATTTCTTCTCAACATAAAAGTGGCTACTTTTGTGTACACGGATTTGCCATCAGAGTTGCTATTGTGTGTTTTATAGTTTATTCAATGCTAGGTTTACATAAAAAGCAAAATAGCACTTAGGGCTATTCTGGTCAAAGATTAAATACAGCAGGCTGTACTGCTTTTTTATTTTCAGAACGTTTTGTTTCTCCTTTGTGGTAATAAGGAACACAGTTAAGTTTAAAAGACAAACATACCAAGAGGGACAGGGACGCCCTAATGAACTGCTCTGAACGACTCAGACCACCCTGTGAGATGAAAAGGACACTCAGCCTCTGTCCCAGGAATTCAGTTCAGGAGTGCTTGTCATGAATCTATCTCCCCAAGGTAAAAGGTCTAACACTCCAGTAAGTCAGATTGCTCCCTGCAGCTTCAGCCAGGGGAAAGGAAAATGGAGCCAACCATTGTAGCAGGTTGAACGCAGTAGAGGTCTGGAGGAGAGCAGGGATGAAGCCAGTGTGGCCGAGAGTTCCTGGCAGTCTGGACTCTGGTCTGGGCAGGCGCCACTTAAGCTTTGCTGTGGATACACCAGTGTCTTGCTCCAATCCTGACGAACACACTGCTTTCCTGTTCCCATTTCCGGCCAAGGCCATCAGAGAACACGGGGGTGAAGTACCTAGATGTGGAAGACCCTGCCCTGCCTCTACTGTGACCCCTAGACAGGCCTAGTTTCTCTTGAGTTTCGATTTTCTCTCTGCAGATGGGGGGTGATAGTCTACCTGGCAGAGCAGTTCTGTTGTCTAAATAGGATGTGTAGAAAAGAGCTCTGTGACGTGGATTCTGACTAAACTGAACATCCAAAAACAAAGACATGAATTTTTAAGTATTAAAAATGTTTAAGGGTGATATGCATGTGTCCTCTAAAACTTGTTTTGATGACGTCACCTTTATAAAACAAAACACCACTGTGTGAGTGCCTCCATGTGGGTATATAGCACAAACGTTGTGGGTGAGGCGTACCAAGCCCATGGTGGATCTCCCTCAGGAGTTGGAGGCTTATATTTTACTCAATAATCTGTTTCCAGAACTGTTTCAAAGGGCATTGCACTCTTAATTAGAGTTTTCTCTAAGAATTTGCAGTGTTCACAGCGCAGTCCAAGCACATGGTGAAGGGCAGCTATGGGGAGAGCGCACTGATTGAAAAGACCATGTACAGGCTTCTGATTCCCTTGGAAGGGACTAAGATTAGGAAGGAGCCAGGCGGTGGTGGCGCACACCTCTGATCCCAGCACTCAGGAGGCAAAGGCAGGTGGATCTCTGAGTTCAAGGCCGGTCTGGTCTACAGAGCAAATCCAGGACAGGTTTTGAAGCTACACAGAGAAACCCTGTCTCGAAAAAACAAAAACAAAAAAAGTAATAATAAAACAAAAACCAAACAAACAAAAATGATAACAACAACAACAACAAAAAAGATTAGGAAGGAGTGTGAGATGTTGCTGGTGGGGGGCAGTCTCCTTCCACACCTATAGTTGGTCCCATTCTACTCTCCAACCCTGACTTGACTTAAGCATCTACCTAGACTGTAGGTGGATCAGTGAGGCCACAATCAGGGAGATCCCAAGAATAATCACACTGGAAGAATGGACAAACCCCCATCCTACATCTTGGGTGTAGCCGCATGTCAGCAAGGGAAGTGTCCAGGTGGCTACAGTACTTTTCATTAGTTCTTTCAGAATTTTGTCTGTGGTGTTTTAATGACGTTCACCCTTCCACATTCCTTCCAGATCACCCCCTCTCCGCTACCCACCCAACCGTTGTGTCCAACTCTACCACCACCACCCGTCAGGACCAGTCTGTGCAGCCTGTATATTCTTGGATGTGTGGCCCTCTTGGATGGGCTAACTAGGGGCAGCATTCTTAAAATGGATTGTCCCTCTCCAGCCTCTAGCGATTGCTAGGAGCTCCCTGACTAGGGGCAGGGATTCCTGTCCACCTCCGTTCTCCACACTGGGATTTGATCTGATTTGAGCTTGCACAGGCAGTGCAGCATCGCAGCGGTTATGGTAACATAGAACGTGTGGGGAAAGAGGGCCGGAGTTCAGTAGAACTGATAGCATCTTTTTTCCTGTTGCTAACCTCTAGCATGTTCAATGAGAAATGGTGAGCCGCATATGAATGGAAGGGACTTCAGGAGCTAACTAATTAGAGGCTGGGAACAGCCTCGACTATCACACCACCCACCTGAAAAACCGCTTCAATGCAAACTCTCACATAAAGTCTCAACCACTAATGTATCAGTTATTATATTAATATTTAATTTCAGGTGAAGGGCAAAACTTTAAAATAGTTTAAGAAGTTATTTTGAAATATGTTTTCCCTAAATAGAAGATTTTGTTTCTTCTAAATTTGATTGACAAGCTAATTGTCATTCTGTATCAAATGGAATGCTTCCTGGAGTTGCCTCCAGTTGCTAGCGGATATACCGAGAAATTGTAGGTTGGAAATGCCTGGTGCTTTCCACGATTTGAGTGACAAGTAGCTGACAGTGGGGATGAGGAAAGAATATAAATAAGTTAACAGCTGTGTAGACAGCAAAATGACTTGGGTCTACAAGGACCCGGCTAGAGGTGAGAGACTTGAGAGAGAACATAGCTATCAAATCCAAACTTCTGGTGAGCTTTTGCCAGAATCCTTCAACCCTAAAGTTTTCTCAAAGACCATGAGGGAAGAACAGCACATCCCAGAGATAAAGTGAATTCGACGGAGATCTGTTGAGAGGAATGACACTGGGTGTCTCACAGAAATGGAGTACCAAGCAAG